GGTGTACGTGGCTGGCGCCTTAGCCGGTTGAGCTATAGGCGCCGAGCCTTACTTTCCATTTTTATAAAACACACACTAACTTCTTTATATGACTGGGAATTTGTCACAGTTAAATAAGTCAATTTATTAACCTTAAGCAGTTAACCAACCCTATGAGAGATTATACATATTTTATTTTTATTTATTTACTTTTTAAACTAATTTTAGGATGGAATTCTTTTTCTTTTTCTTTTTTTCCGAGACAGAGTCTCATATGTCACCCCTGATAGAGTACCATGGCATCACAGCTCACAGCAACCTCAAACTCTTGAGCTTAAGCGGTTCTTTTGCCTCAGCCTCCCAACTAGCTGGGACTACAGGCGCCCACCACAAATGCCCAGCTATTTTCTGTTGTTGTTGTAGTTTCATTGTTTTCTAGCTGGTCCAGGCTAGGTTCGAATCCACCAGCCTTGGTGTATGGCGCTGGCACCCTAGCCGCTGAGCTATGGGTAACAAGCCTATATCCACTTTAGTATATTTAAGAGATACAGTATATTTAAGAGAGTATGTTTATTTATTTATTTTTCAATATTTCTTTCTTTTTTTTTTTAAATTTTAATTTTATTTGCAGTTTTGGCTGGGGCCAGGTTTGAACCCGTCACCTCTGGTATATGAGACCAGCATCCTACTCCTTGAGCCACAGGTACCGTCCAAGTATGTTTATTTATGTATTTTTTTAGATTAAGTATTATCCTCTTTCTTTTTTACTCCGTATAATAACCGATTATACAACTTATAGTTTTCCCATATAATGGACTATGTATCTATTAAAAAAAAAAGAATCAAATCCAGGTAGGGCATGAAAAAATATATATTGTTATGTTAAAGAAAGCAGGATAGGCTGGGCACAGTAGATTGTGTCTGTAATCCTAGCACTCTGGGAGGCCAAGGTGGGTGAATTGCTTGAGCTGAGGAGTTCAAGACCAGCCAGACCAAGAGCGAGACCCCATCTCTACTAAAGATAGAAAAATTAGCCAGGTATTGTGGTGGGTGCCTGTAGTCCCAAATACTTGGAAGGCTGAGGCAAGAGAATTGGTCAAGCCCAAGAGTTTGAGGTTGCTGTGAGGTATGATGATGCCACAGCAGAGTGACAGGGTAACAGAGTGAGACTCTGCCTCAAAAAAAAAGAAATGCATATCCAACCAGTAAACTATATAATGCAACCTTAGAAAGGATGGGCTATATGCTATTCATAAGATCACCAAACTATATTCAGTGAAATAAAGACAAGGGGCAAAACAGTGTTTATAAATGGATTCTACTTACATTAATGTAATTTTTAAACAATATTATAAAATATATTTTTTAACATACAAAATGTTTTCTAGGAATATGTAAGAAGTAGTTAAATAGGGGTCACCTCTAAGGATAAGACCAGGTGTGGAAGGGAAGGAAACTGCAGGGAAGGGGAAGAGGGTTGCCTTGTACATAAAGAAACAGAGTATTTGGAAAGGAACCCCTTTTAGTCTAACAAATATCTCCTAACAGTCTCCTCATTACCTTTCCTCTAGCCGGGCCAATTGTCTCTATCTGTATCCTTTCACTAGGGACCTCGCAGTGCTGAAATAGTTTTACTAACTTTGTTTCTTCCCCACCATCCCCTCTTTTGTCCTACCGTAATTCAGCCTTTTCAGCTTCAATCTGAAGGATAGCCATCGTTCTTTCATAATTCTTTTCGGGACCATCATAGAAAGTACGCACGATCCATCTTGATATAGGATGCTGCAGGGAAAAACTGCTTAGTATCAGTCCATTTCTGAACAATATGTTGCTTTTCTAGTTGACTGTTCTTTAAAATGACACTCTCAGATAAACCGGTAAGAACTGCTGTGTACTATTTCACATACATATGTGTGTATATACTATATTGTATTTTTATTTTAACAAGATATATATTTTTTGAGGCAGAGTCTCACTTTGTCACCCTCAGTAGAGTGCCATGGTGTCATAGCTCACAGCAACCTCAAACGCTTTAGGCTGAAGCAATCCTCTTGCCCTAATTTTTTTTTTTTTTTTTTGAGTAGAGACGGGGACTTGTTTTTGCTCAGGCTAGTCTTGAACTCATGAGCTCATATAATCCTCCCACTTCAGCTTCCCAGAGTGCTAGGAGTAGAGGCATGAGCCACCTAGCCCGGCTATGTAAATTATATATACAATATATGCTAAGTAATTTTAATCCATTAGATGAATACTATTTTTGTCCCCATTTTAGAAACAAGCAAATTGCACAAAGTTATACATCTAATAAGTGGCAGTGTCTGGACTCAAATAAGGTCTGTTTGACTCTAAAGCCTGCGTTCTTTCTCATTATGCTATGCTGAATATCTTATGTGGCAGATTCAGGACCCAAGTGCAGGTTTTTTTTTTTTTTTTGAGACAGAGCCTCAAGCTGTCCCCCTGGGTAGAGTGCCGTGGCATTACAGCTCACAGCAACCTCCAACTCCTGGGCTCAAGCGAGTCTCCTGCCTCTGCCTCCCAAGTAGCTGGGACCACAGGCGCCCGCCACAACGCCCGGCTATTTTTTGTTTGCAGCCGTCATTGTTGTTTGGCGGGTCCGGGCTGGGGATTCGAACCCGCCACCTTAGGTGTACGTGGCTGGCGCCTTAGCCGGTTGAGCTATAGGCACCGAGCCCCAAATGCAGGTTTTAAGGATCTAGAAATGGACTTCTCTGTACCAGTTAGCATGAATAAACTACTCGTATGCTTTACCTAAAGATTTAATAGTTAAGCTTTTCTAAAATATAATTTACTTAGATAATAAACTTGATAGGGTACTTTGCATATACTCTATTTAAGGTTATCTTACTATAATACTTGTAAAGACAAGAAACAGCATAAATTCCAGGTTTTGATAGCAGTGACAGGATGGTGTAATGGCTGGTTAACAGTGCAGGCACTGAGTCAAGGCTGCCAGGGTTCAAATATAGGCACCATTTCTTGGACAAGTCACTTGACTCCTTTTGGGTCTCACTTTCTTCATCTCTGAAGTGGGAATAACAACAGCACCTTTTACACGAGAAAATATTTGTAAAACACTTAGCACAGTGCCTGCTAACAGTAAGTACTCAATAAATGACAGCTAACATCAGTACTGGTAAAACTGTTTCTAAAGCATTGAACTTGGAATAAATTCTGTTATTCTCACTACATTGAGACACACTGCAAAGCTATTCTTTAAAACACTGCAAAGCTGGGCAGGCTCAGTGGGTCGGGCGCCAGACACATACACCAAGGATGGCAGGTTTGAGCCCGCTCTGGGCCTGCTCAACAATAATGACAACCGCAACAACAACAAAAAAATAGCCAGGCATTGTGGCGGGCACCTGTAGTTCCAGCTACTTGGGCGGCTGAAGCAAGAGAATCACTTAAGCCCAAGAGTTTGAGGTTGCTGCGAGCTGTGATAAAACAGCACACTGCCGAGGGCAACATAGTGAGACTGTCTCAAAAAAAGAAAAAAAAATTGCAAAGCTTATAGTTTAAGAAAATATAGAAAAGTACCAGGAGTAGGTATTTGTAAAAAGTAAGCAAAAAGGTATTATCTACTTGATATAAAAAATTAAATATAAAATTATATTGTAATTGTGGAATTAGGGTTTTGACAAGAGAGAAATTTTAAATGATCTATACAAACCTTGTAATATTCCCAATGTTCTGGAATATAGCCTTCTGGAATTTCTGCTAATTCAGCTTCACCTAGTAAGAAAAAATGGTATTGCTCAAGTTTAACAGCAGGAATTTATAATATTAATTCCTCACCATTAAAAAAACAACTTCTTGTGGTTTTAAAGGACCTTTTTATTTGTAACAATGAAGACACCTAAAATTTTATTTTATTTTATTTTTTTAGAGACAGAGTCTCACTTTATTGCCCTTGGTAGAGTGCTGTAGAGTCACAGCTCACAGCAACCTACAACTCCTGGGCTTAGGCGATTCTCCTGCCTCAGCCTCCCAAGTAGCTGGGACTACAGGCG